CTCGAAACCCCCCCACCACCAAAAAAAAAAAATCTGGAAGAACAACACAAAACATAAAATATGTTTACCAAACCACATCAGTTTTTAATGGTGTACAACATCCATGTTCACGCTTTTTCTGTGCCCTGTATATAGTTTTTAGTTGAGCCACTCAAAAGTAAACTACAAATAACAGCAGTTAACCCCTAAGAATGCCGCTGTGTATTTCTTCAGGTCAGGGACAAACCTTGCACAGCGATGTTACTATGATCCAACTTGGAACATTTAACATTGGACCCATACTGCTGCCTAGTATATAATTCATTATTACACCCTCCACGCCTCCCCCCTTGACCCACCTCACTCAGTTGTTGTGACCCTGTGATCTCCATCACTCACACACTCAGTGTGGTGGCATAAGTGTAGGCAGGATGTTTTCTAGAATGACCCTCAGTTTGCTTGTGTATCATGAATAGTTCCTCGCTATTAAATCTAGTTATTTCATTTGTGTGTCTTTTGAGACAGGGTCTCTCCCTACACAGCCCTGGCTGTCTGGGAACTCACTATGTAGACTAAGCTGGCCTCAAATACACAAAAATCTGCCCTCCTCTGCCTCCTGGGTGCTGAGATAAAGGTGTGATTTTTTTTTTTGACAGGAATTCTGCACCATGCTATGCTGGAGACAGCTTGGACTAGCTCCTGAGAGCCACTTCTCACACAGCTTTTTAACCCCAAATTCTGTAAAGTTATATTGGCCACTGGCGATAGGCCATGATGGGAATATGTTACCTCGGAGTAGTCAGCTAATACTGTAGCTGGGAGCTTCTCTGAAGCCTTGGGTTGCAGTTGGAAGATGCTTACACTTACTGGCACTGTGTGTGTGTTTGTGTGTGTGTGTGTGTGTGTGTGTGTGTGTGTGTGTGTGTCCTAAGCAAAGCAAAGCATGGTATATTTTTGTTCTCATGCTGGCATTCTTGTCACTGGGTTGAGATAGGGTCTATCTGGTTCTCTATGAAGAAGACTCTCCATTTCCCCCTTCATAATTGATGAGTGATGTATGAAGAGATAGTACTCACATCATTCCTATGAGGATATACTTACCCTCTCCTGTTTCCAACTGAACTTTCATTTCATTTTTTAAAGATTATTGTGTAGGGCTCTGGGCATGTAGCTCAGTGGTAGAGTACTTACCTAGTGTGCCTAAGACTCAAGTCTCATGCCCAGAACCATAACTACAAGATCAGTAACAGATTTACTTCCCAAATCTATTACTATTGCAGTAATTTAAAGCAGTAATTTTCTCTCTCATTTTGGCATTTATTTCTTAATTATTTGGCAGCACTAAGGTTAAAAACCAGGCCTCATGCACGCTAGGCAAATGTTTTACCATTGAGCTGCAGCACATTTTTTGTTGATTTTTACATTTTTACAATATAAACTTATTCTTAAAATAGATAACTAGCAGACGACTGGGAAGCATACTGACTGTCCCCACAGTTTGTCAGTTTGCAACAGATTGTTATAGTATAGAATATGTTTCCATGATATACAGCATCCATCTAGGAAGAAGAGAATGAGTCCTCAGAAATGATTTCCTGCCCTACTATTGAAAGTGTGCTTGCTAACATAGTTCCATTGTCAATGAAGGTAGTATTCTGGGTCATTTTCCAGTCTTGCCTGAACCCACATATTACCCAAAGCATGCCTTTGGAAGATTGCTGGGTGAGAGATGTGGTGATGAAATTATAGGTTAACTGTGCAGAGAAGAATGGGGAGAACACAGGACAGGAAGTCTGGAGCCACAACACAGAGGGAGATCGGATGCTACAAGTCATCTCCCCGATCTTCAGTGCCAACTTGGGTCCTATTTCATTCAGTTCCCTTTCTGGTTCTAGGACTTTTTTTTTTCAGTCCCCTTAATTGGAGACCTAGAATTCACCTCATTAGCATGATGAGAGGTACAGGGTGGGCGGTGACCTGGTACTTGAACTGCTGCCTCAGCTCCTGTGAAACACCAGGACACCCATCTCAGCTTCCCGGGGTGTGCTCAGCCCCGTCGTCTGACTCCTGTCTCTGGCTCTTTGTTTGTTGCTGGCAGTCATGGAAACCCACTAAAGGATGTCCTCACCTTGCTCTGTAAGGAGCTCCCTCTCTCAAGTGTTAGCTTGCCCTGTATCCGATTACCCTTGTTGCCATGGTTGGAGATAAAAGAACTCTTCTGCCCTGGGCAGTCTACACGTTTAAAACAGTTTGGATACTTCAGTTTTAGTTGACTTTTGCCAAGTAAAAGTGCTGAGAACTGGACAAATGGGTTGTTCTTGATGGATGCATTGTTTAATGAACTCCACGAATGAGTCAAGTGACAGTGATCAGTACTAAGGCTCAGAATGGTTCACCTCTAATATCTAGAACAGGGTTTGTTATATGTATAGGTTATATGCAAGGTGAGGCGTAGAATGAGAATTATGAGACAAAGTGAGGCTCTTGACAAACTGTGTTTTCTTCCCTATCTGGAACAAGGTTTGAGACATGCCTTCACCCCCCCTTCCCCTCCCCCACCCAAACTGAGTGTGGGCTACTTAAGCTAAGAGGGCACAGGTGAGCTGGTGTCTGCAGCCTGAGTGTGGTGCTGTCTGAGACTGGTACTTTCCATGCTTCAGTTCCTCCTGTCGGCATTTTTAATATTTAATGAGCCTTCCGTCGTAGGGAATTATTTGGCAGCTCCCTAAGGGATATCTGCTTTAGGTATCTATCTTTTTTTTATCTGTCTGCTGGACTTCCATTTGCTAAATGGAAAAGGTGGTGTCTAGAATGCTTTTCAGATGACTCATCTAAGGTTTTGATGAGGCAAATGGAGTCCGTGGGAATCCAGGGAGTTGGCAGGACTTTTCAACTTACTTTTCTATTCATTTTGGGTTTTTATAAGACTCCAAGTAGCACACCTTTTCTCTTCCCTAAAATGTAAGTTCTGGCCTGTTTTCAAGCTCAGGGATTTTGCTGTCATTGTCCTTTCAGCCCCGACGCTCCTCTCCAGGAGTTTCTTTGTGTTTGAATTTAAGGAATTTGACCTTCCTCAAATGTAATCTAGTCAACACCCACCTCACCTGGTGGGTTAGCCACTCATCATCTCTACGATTAGAAAGCCAGTGTCTCGCTGGAAAGACAGAGAGAGCCATTGATTCCTGAGCTCAGCCCGGCTTCTCTTTGATTTTATAATCAGTTCCTAGAGATTGTAGGCGAGCTTTGAATTCCAAGACTGGGGTCTGTGAACTCTACTCTTGAAACAAACCTTTGAAGCAGATCTTCTGCTTTGGGTTTCAGAAGGGAGGACCCAACTGGGCGTTGATGGGTGAATTAAATTGTTTTCATTTGCTAATATAAGGGAACCAATAATTATCACTGCTAGTGTAACACCCTGGGTTTTTCCTTTTTCTCTTCTTTGTTTTTGTCTGTAATGTTTTGATGGGGGAGGTGGAGTGTCAGGACAACTTTATGGAGCTGGGTCTCCCCTTAACCTCATGAGTCCCAGGGACGGATCTCAGATCACCTAGGCTTGCTTAGTTAACTCCTGATCCATCTCACTGGCTCTGCTTTCCCTTACAGCTTCTGTAAGAAGTATTGTTTGTTTTCTGTTTGAGAACGTTAATCAAGTTAATGCTGAGTCAATCTTAGTCTTTCCAGAAACCCTCACCAAGTATAGTGTTCCCTGTAAACCTCCTATTGTACACTGGCTTAAAACGATTTAGTGATTCCCAGTGATGGACTTGGGATAACTAACAAATTCTACAGTTCAGGTTCAACAGACAAAAGGGAGGAAGAAAAAGCACCAGGCAATTCCTAGGCCTTTAAACTATGGGCACGTTCAGTGAGTACTAAGGATGCTGTACTGAACAGGGAAGGGCTTGGGTGCACTATTTCTGTACGTGCTAATCCTTACAAGCTCATATGCCCCTCAACTTTAAATTCGAAGTTCCTCTTTACCAGCTTACTGCTGTAAGATTACATGGTACAGTACTGCTATTTACACGTGTCACACATTAAAGGTATAAAGTGCATGGAATGTTTGTTCACACACATTTAAGCATGACTCCTAACAAAAACATCCTTTTTTCGTTTTTTTTAGTTTTTCATTTTTCAAGACAGGTTTTCTCTGTGTAGCCTTGGTTACCCTGGGACTCACTCTGTAGACCAGGCTGGCCTTGAACTACAAAGATCTTCCTGCCTCTGCCTCAGGAGTGCTGAGATTAAAGGTGTGTGCCACCACCATCCAGCTTAAACAAAAACATTCTTGATAATCAAGCCATAGGACCCCAGTTTTCCCTGGGATCTTGAAGGATGAAGAAATAAAAGGATGGAAAAATAATGAATTTGAGTTCATCAACCTTTCAGAGCAACAAAATTTTAGACTTCTCCACATTTGCTGCTACTGATGTTTAAGAGTTCTCATTTTAGCGAGGATGGAACACATGTAAACTCAGTTGTATGCTACTGACAATGAAGTGAAATTATGCCTTAATAATGTTTGTATCATGTGTATGCTGAAGCAACCATGCTGTGAGTTGGAGAGGGGAAATTATCTCAAGAAAACTCAGAAAAATATAATAATATAGAAAAATCTGCAGAACCTAAAAATGCATTTGCATTGCACCAGGAAATCCTGTCTCAAAAAACCAAAAAAAAAAAAAAAGAATTTACAGAGATAAAAAAGTATTCAAGTATTTCCACTTAAATTTTTAGCCTGCAAGTTATTTGTGTTTTCTAAATAAAAATTCCCTACACACACACACACACACACACACACACACACACACACACACACACACACACACACACACACGAAGTTCTGCCTATCCCTCCTGAGGTCTCTCTGCTCACCCCCCTCCCTTGCAATGGTATGCTCTGCATTTGATCGTAAACTGGAGGTGCCAAGCTGTGACAGCTTCTTCAGCTCCACAGCCATTTGCTCCAGCCCAGGAAGACATGTGTTCAGTGATGTTCTCCTTCTCCTCTTCCACCCACAGGGACAAATCGAAGTAGACAGTGAGACCATCTTCAAGTTGGCTGCCCTGGTTTTGCAGGTAAGAATTCGCTCACTACTTCTAAGCAGTCCCCTTCTGTTTCTTGCTAACTGCCTGCAACTCTGAAACTTTTGCCTGGCCAGCCCCTGATGGATTTTCAAACCAGGAAATGGTTTATCAGTGAAAGCTGCGACCTGCTGAATTCTGTTTCCAAATCGATTGCATGAATTAGCTAGTGTGTGACAGTATTTCTGAAAGACGGCGACATTTAGGCTGCACCAAGGGAAAAGAGGTCAGACCACATTCCTGGAAAAGGACTCCTGCTTGTTTGAAGTTGGGAGGCTGCAGCTGTTAGAACAGCTGTAATTTTCATTTAAATTTAGCAACTTTTGTACACGTTTCCTTGAGGTTATGTCAAGAGCCCTTTAATTCGTAAAGGCACTGGCAGTTGAGAAGCAAAGTCAGTTCCTGTCCTCATTTAGAAAGCAAAGAGAAAGTAAATAGTGTATGTTGATTTACCTGGGTCATAGTCTACAAAGTGCATCTCGTGCGCAAAGTGTGACACTGCAAGGCAAACAAATGTATCCTGTGATCTTAGAAATGCAACAGAGAAATGATTGCCTGTGTGTCTTCCTATGTACATATGGAGACTATACAGGGTAATATACATATAAGTCGCTTCTGCTAATGGTGAGACGCATGTCATGTATACTTGTGTTTTCTTATCAATAGTGACCGTGGGGATAGTGCTCCTTAAGCTCCTTTCTGAACAGGAAGCTCTGGACTTTGTTAGAGGGAAAATAACCAAGAATAAATCATTCATTGAGCTTAGCATAAATACATATTGATCATGTCTTTATTTTTCTTTCAGGAAAGCAAAGGAGATTATACCAGGTAATGATTTCTTTTCTGATGTTACTATGTAGAATGAGGTTCCCCAGCTGTGGAATGAGTTATTTTAAATAATAATGGATATTTTAAATAATAATGGATGCAAAATCAAAAGAAAGCGGTTCAAGGCTGGCAGTTCAGATCTCCTCTTCCTTCTCATAGAGACCTATTCTTTCGGTCAAGGACTCTGAGAATGAGACTTTCTCACAGTTTTTAAGGGCACAGTGACAGGAAATTATAATCAGAAGCCCTCCAAAGTTCCAGGATTATACAACATCAGTTACTGAGATGAAGAAATCTACAAAAGCTTTGCTAACTTGTGTTAGTTTTTTGTTTTGGTTTGGTTTGGTTTTTTAACATATAATGGTGCTGTGTGTAAGGGATTCTAACGTATGCAGAAACAGATTAAATCTATCAGCTGCTTAGTTAATGGATTAATAGGGGTTTTTCTTTTGCAGCTGCCCTGAAGGGGCCTCACCCTTAATATACTTGACCTAGCTAGCAGTTGTATTGTTGCTACACAGACACTGGAGCTAAGTTCCTCACTGGCCACAGCAGAGAGTGTTTTTTGGGTCATTTGTTTGGTGTGTGTGTGTGTGTGTGTGTGTGTGTGTGTGTGTGAATTCACCCTCACCCGTGCTGCCCCTACAATGCAGTCCTGCAGCAAAGTGGGAATTGTCAAGCTAGAGGGGAGGCCTCTGATGGGAAGCAGTGTCCAGGTCAATGACCCACTGAAAGCCTGGCCTCTGCCACGCTAACGTTCCACTTCTGTAAGCTTCTCCCAGAGATTATTTCCAGATTGCCTAGTACTCATCCCCGGCCAAGTTTCTGAATAATGTGCTCAGTAATGAACTGATAAAACAATGCCTTCCAAGCCTGCCGGCTTCCTGTTCTTGAGGAATAATCCTCTCTCCTCACCCTGCCCATTCAGGCTGATAGAGTAGGGTTTCCACTTAACACCCCATCATTCAGTTACTCACCACCCCCTCATTGAGAGCACTTGGTATGTGTGTTTGTGTATATGTGGGCGTATGTTTGTGTATGTGTGTGTTGTTGTATATTCATTATCCATGGGGACTGATTCCATGACATTTCACAGTTAGAGATCATGCTTTGTCGTTATCCCCCTCATCTTGTCTTTATCCCCCTACTTCTGATCCCATTCATCTTCTCAGTCTCTCCTACTTTCATATATACACATACATGTACATGATTTTGTGTAACCATACAGTCTGTGGTTGTATAGGGCACTTGTGAAGTCAGTTTATAATGTCTTCAGGCTCTGTCACGTGGGTCACTTACTTTCCCTTTCCCACTCCTGACTCTGTGAGATCTCAGCCCCTGTCAGTCTAAGCCTCAGTTTTCTCATCAGCAAGGCAACACGGCCTATAGGACTGCTGTGAATTAACCGTGTGAAGGTTGCTGGGGCGGTACCCGTAGCTCTTAACGGCTCTTCAGCTGCTACAGTGGTTACTGTCCCCATAATCCGCATCAAAATTCTGTGTGGCCTCGTGGCTACTCTGAGAAGAGTTTTGGGATAAAGGTAGGTCCATAGGAGCTGTAATAACATGTCTGGGGACAAAAAAAGCAAGAATGGTTTCATCAGCTTTCCTTGGTGAGAGCCCAGGACCTGACAGAGAGGGAGGCTGCCAGGCACTCACCTGGAGGAATGCGTACATTTCAGTTCTGGATGGCACAGTTGTTCATGCTGACTTAGTTCCGGCCAAGTCTTACCCAGTCCTTCCTCATCTCCAGCCGGGTTCTAGCAGTTTCCTTGAGGAGCCCTGGGCTGAAGATATGTCACACACTGTCTTAAAACCAAGTAGTAGAACACGGAACTGAGTCATGCACAAGCCACCAGTGTCCAAGCCTCAGTTTCCTTATCTGTAAATTGGGGTCTGAAGGAAGTTAGTGGTGTGGAAGAACTGTAAATTGCAAAGGCATTAATTATTGATGACAAGGATGAAAAAATAAAAACCATGAGTAGCTGTCACTGAAAGTGACAATAGAACAGAATCTATTACCACCCATTCCTGCCTAATCTCCTCCCCAATGGGCATTATGTTCTTCTGCCAAACATGTTTTATAGAACCAATAATGTAGGAAAATCAGTCAATTTAAACTATGACCAGCCAATGTCATCATGGTTAGATGGAAGGCTATAGGCAAATGGACTCGGCCGTAGACTGCCTGTATAATCTAGAAAAAAATTACTTACCTCTCTAAGCCTTGTTTCCTGGAGTGTAAAATGGGACTTCCAATAAGTGTAAATATGCTGTAGGTTGGTATGAGGATTAAATTCATATTTATGAGATGCCTAGAGCCATTCCTGTGGCCATTGCTTTAATATACCACCAGAATTAGGCTGTTGCTTATTGGTTGTGGTTTTGCTTTTAGACAGTGTCTCGTGTGGCCTAAACTTGCCTGAAACTCACTGTATAGTCATAGATGACCTTGACCTTCTGATCCTCTTGCCTCCCCTTCTCCATTGCTGGAATTGTAGGCATTGCCATCATATTTACCAAGTCCATCAAATTGACAGACATGTGTACCATTCCCCTGTTACAACAGTGAGTTGATGCCTAGGTTTTAGCTGCTGTAAATAATGCCGTGGTGAATATCTGGGTACATCTGAAACTGAAACGATTTGTGTTTGGTTTTTTTTAAAGACTACAAATTTTATTTCTTTTTTACTTTTTTCCATTCATTTTTTTAATGGGGGGATATCACAGTCACATGTTGTCATCAAGCTTGGTGACATTCATGCTTGAGCCATTCCCCCGCCCCTTTAGTTAATTGCTCTAAAGCATCCAGAAAAGTTCCTTTCCCATGGGAAATAGGTGCATTTTTATAACACCACCATAAATTGGGAATATTCGGTTCCCATTTGAAGGTGGGTGTTAACCACACCCTTATTCTGACCCCCCATAGTGAAGTGAAAATTGAAGTCACTCCTTAAACTGAAGCATCCTAACACTTACCTACTTGGTAAGGCTCAGCTTTCAGGTTCTTAACAAACAAAACCAAAGAGAACCCCCTTTGCCTTTGCAAAGTCACTTGTGGCTAGCAGCTCAGTGATAACGGCTGGCTGGCTGAGCTTTCAGGAATTCTCTACTGGCCTGTGTTGTGTTACCAAAGCACTTGTTATCTCAGCAGTGTAAGGACCGACTTGGAAATTCAGGCTGTCAGCTATTTAAAGCAAATGGAAGTCGCCACTCCACCCCTAATGAAACCCTGAGAGCAGGGTTTCCTACTGGTTGCGATAATGCTAACTTAAGTACTTACTTTGGAGGATCCCTGGCAGGAAGCAAAGTAAGCAGGGTGGGGCTGATTATTTTTAAAGGCATTCTGGAAGAAGAGTTTGAGCAAAGACTGTTTGGAGGCAAAATAATGTGGGGAACTGGAGGAAAAATGAGAGGGAGCAGCAAGCGGAGGCGGGCAGCACAGAGAAGCACTGGGGAAGCCAGGTTAGGGTGTCTGGATGCAGTGAGAAACTAACGTTTCAGAGGTACAACAGTGGCCACAGACTCTTTATGTCAGTTTAAGAAAGTAGCAGCAACCAGACTGCTCCCAGAGAGCAGTACTGAGGGCGTGAATGAGCCCAGAGGTATTAGCAATGCCCGGGAGCTTTGGAATTTAACCACTTCGTTTCAAATCACTTGATAGATAAGGCAGCTGCCCTGTCTGAAACTCAGTTTATCTCAGTATTGCATATGTAAAGCAGCCTGGTGTGGCTGCGTTATTACCTCCACCCTCCTTGCAGCCCTGTGAAGATGGCATTATTGCTGTCCCAAGGATGCCGAGCTTTGGGGTCCTGGACGAGTCAACTGTGTTACAGGTGTCCTAGAGCGCAAAGAAAACATATCCACACACAGACAGGAGTATGTTTCTTCATGTGTGTTATTCATGATGTTTGGTAAAAGTTAAACAAAGGGGCCAGAGATACTGCCCTTTGGTAACATGCATGAAGCCCTGCGTTCAATCCCCATTACTGAATAAAATGGGGCCTCTTGGTGCATTCCTGGGAGGTAGAAGTAGGGGGAATCAGAAGTTCAAGTCATCCTGGATTACATGGTGAAGTTGAGGCTAGCATGGACTACATGAAACCCTGGTTCAAACAACCAAAAGTCAAACCAAGGTTCCCATTTTTTTTCTCCAGTTTTTCAGTGTGCTCATATACACTGAGTTCTCCAAGAAGGGCCACATCAGCAGTGTTTAATGTCTGAGCAACATGCTGGCCAGTGCTCTGTGGGCTTCATATCACTGACCATAGTCTTGTGGGGCACCAGGGGCTTGGTGTTCTACAGTTTATGTATTCAGTACCTCAAAATACCTTCAACATCTCAAGGATAAGATGCAACTAGACAACAGAAGCTCCAAATAGATCAACTCCGTTCTCTTGACCTATTGAGATTCTCTCCAGGAGAGTGAACCAGGCCAGGGCACTCATGACAGCTGTGTGAGCCTGGAGTGAAGCTCAGTGTGGTGTTGACAGTAGCTGTCCCAGACATTGGCCAGTCAGTCTTCCATACCAATAGATAGTGGTGGACATGAACTACCTATGCTCCTCAGAGGCAAGACTTCCCCAAAGCTAAGGATGACATGGTAAGGAAGGCATCTTGCATTCCTGCCCATACCTGTTTGCATGTCTTTTGGTATGGTTTTGGAAACACAGAGTCATAGCAAGAGCTGTAACATAACCCAGTGCCGTCAGCTGGACCAACGTGGCTAATGCGGATAATCCACTTGTTGATAGATTTGGATGGGTTGCATCACCTAAGGCAGGAGGAAGATACAAAACTTCCAGGCCTCAGGTTGACTGTACATAATCTTGACTTCTCTAGTAGGAAGGTTCCAGATTTTGACTTTCTATGCTTTGACTTTCTATACAGCACTTGTATAGATTCTTGTTCTCCAACCTACCAGTTTTCTAGCTCTGGATTTTAAGAATACAGGTCAGAGCTGAGCATTGGTGGCGCACACCTTTAATCGCAGCACTCCGG